AGGTGACATCCTGGCGGCTCCCTACACCCCATCTAATTTGGCATGACTACTGCCATTATCTTATTCAGCTCCTGCTTAGGTGGCCATGTTAGTGAGACTTCATAGGTCTAACTTCTGACGTTACTAGGAGACACAACCTCATTGCTGACTCCCTGATGCTTCAGCTCTTAATCTTTTCACCTCCCCTTCTGCAGTGTTCCCTGAGCCTTGGCTGTAGGAATTGGGTTGTAGATGGAGCTGTTGGGACTGGGCTCCATCGGTGAGCTGTGGTTTTCAAATGGTCTCTGTTGCAAAGAGAAGTTTCCTCAGTGAGGGGTGAGGACAACACTTCTCTGAGTGTATAAAGATAAGTATTTAGAGCGCAGTTAAGGGTTAAGCTGGTTTAAAGTGCTGCCAATAAAAGCTCTAGGTTCTCTGCAAGAGCCATGGCCTCACTAACTGCGGGTACTTTTCTAAGTTTCCAGCCCCAGGCATGATGTACTTCTTGTTGATCATGCTTTAGGAGAACTGTTGGTTACTGCCATGGTGTGTGTGCCACTAATGCTGGTCATCGTGGTTCATAAGCATCAGAGGTGGGCAGGGCTGTTGGTTGTTTCCTTCCTTTGGAAGTTTCTGGCACCATGAAAGTTAGTCCTCAGGGTGGAGGCATTCAGGTCTGTTCCAGATCAGGGGCCTCTGGGCATTGTGTTTGAAGTGCATCATGTCCTCGGCAATAGGTACCCAACCTCTACCTCTGGCAGGCGACCAAGGGCAAGAGCAATAGGCTGGATGTCTGGGGAGTCTCTTGGACAACCCTGACCACCAACTCAGAAGCGGGCTTCTCATACCTGTGGTTTAGGTGAGATGATCTTTGCCCCTTGGAGAGAACATTGTTAACGCAGACATTTAGTTATATATTGAAAGAAAGAATGAGACAGAGGCCTGGATACTGCGCTTGCCCACCGAGGACCCAACCTGGCCATTGCTCCAAAAGTTCCTGTCAACCCTGGCCTACCTATATATGTCACAGTTGTCCCCAAGACCTCTCATTGCCTAGCTGTAGCCTTCCATGTCAGCCCCAACATGGGACAATGTTATTCCCCACCTTGAGTTAAGCTCCCATCTCTGCTGACGTCCTCCTAGTCTGGCTTGGGGAAATACATGTTTAAGTACATATGCCAGTATAATCTTCCTATACCTCATCTTTCCCTTCCCAAAGGTAGATTGTCATTTTCTTGGCTCAAACCTACCCCAGTGAGACATTCTAACTTCTTGGATTTGTGTTCCCAGAACACACCAAGTTGAGGCAGCATGGGAAAGCTGAAGGTCTAGGAATGGAAGGAGGCCTCGTGTAACCATTTCAGTAGGTGGGTCCCAGGCGGGAAAGTTTGTATTCTGCTTGTATCCCCTGTGGAAGCAGGACATGTCTTGCCCTTTACTCAGAACAGGAGCTGACAGCTGGTAAGGAAAACTGAGAGAGGGAAGGAGGAGGCCCCATCTCCATCACCATGGTGCTTTCTGGATATCACTGGACAAAATCCTGAAGGTGTGGCTGACTTCCATACCCCTTGAAACCGTCCTGTGAGGTACACCCTCTTTTGACACTCAGGAAAAGTGGTCCCAAGATATGCCAGCTTTACCAAGGACCCTTGTCTGTTGGACAGCAGGGACACCAGTGGAGGCTTGACTAATAAACACGGATTTATTTATCCGTAAAGAGGCTAGGGATATGGCTTGGGGACAAAGGTGTTTCCAGAGTCTTAGCAGGCCCTGGGAGGCACAAGGAGGAGGTTGCCATCTGCTTTGGTGAGTGCCGTGGGATCTGCAAGAAGTGCCCACGCTCTTCCCATCTCTCCTTCCCTCTTCCCTTCTCTCTATTTACAATTGCTCATTGACCTCAAGAGAATTCTGTGCTTCCTTGCCAAAACATGGGCTCAACCCTCAAGAGTCTCTGCGGACTAACCTGTTTGTTGATGTTTCCTGAGCCCCATGGGGACAGAGTCCTAAGAAAGAGTCTGATGGAAAGAATAAATATAAACAAACCCCAAGACTACAAATCAAAGCAGGATTGGATGTCTGAGCCAGAACTAGACAGAGCAGAATGTGAGTGTTGAACAAAATAAGAGACTTGGGTTAGCCCAGACTTGCGCCATGGCTAACCAGCACACAGTTGAAGATAAGACTATGGCGGAAGACAGAGCTGGTTCTCGGGGACAGCCCAAGTGTGTCTCAGTTCTGACTGCAGCAGCAGAGAGGTGGCGCGTCTTCTTCTGCATTCTGGATTTCTGAAGGGCCCCAGACATCCAGCATCAGGAGAAATAGAAACTGTTCCAGGCTAAGCACAGTCAAGTCACACACCAAGGTCTAGGCCACACAATGTCCCAGCTGGGAGGTCACCACAGGCATTCTTGACTTCAGAGCCTGGGAGACAGCGTGGACACTTGACCTAGCAAACACCTGCCCAAATTCACATCTGTGATGACCAAATGTTCTGGTCCATGACTGCTAGGGAGCAGCCTCTCCACAGACCCTGGGTATAAGTCTGTGTAGGCAAAGCTGGGTGTTCCGGACTGTTCTCAACATGGAGACTGTCTCAAAGCCTAGGGAAGTGTGGTTCTGAGTTGAGGACCAGCTTTTGTCAGAGCAAAGCCCACTCACTCCTCAGCGGGGCACCCCTTCCTCAAGCCTTCCTGATCCCACATTCGTCTGGCATGGTGTAGGCACATTGCTATGGACACCCTCCTTCCCTCACCCTAGGAGTTCCCTTGGGGCTTTGCTGTGTAACCTCACTGCAGTAAATTTGGGGACAGAATAATTGGAGCCGCTAACATTTGCGGAATCCACTTGAACCTACTCACAGTGCTAATTAAGATGATGTACGACCGGCCGGAAGGCGGTCCACTCTGGCCATTCCTCACTCTGCCCAGGGCCTTTTCCTACCAGGCTCCCAGACTCAGGGGACTCGTTCACCTTCACAGGAAGATTTGGTTCCGAGGGTCCCATCTCCCAGTAGCTTTGTCTGAGACAGAACCATCTCTTAGGCATCAGCATTCAATATTTCATATTCTTGAGTCTTTGTTCTTCTTTATCCCAAAGAGTTGTGACAGTCCCGCATTAAGATTGCTGAGTTCCTGTGAGGAGCCAGGCCCCTGTGAATGACACATTTGAGGATGGAGGAAGGATGGAGGTTTTTTAGAACAGTGACTGAAGAAACGATTCCCAAGGCAGAGGAAGAGTCACGGTGAAGTGAAATAACCAGAGGGGTTGAAGAGGGACTGGACTGGGGAGCTTCACACATCTCAGAAGGAAGTGAAGACTAGGCCAGCAAGCCCGTCTGGGACATTTTAAGAAGACAGCCATCATAGGGCAGTTGGGCAACCAGTGCAAGTGTAAGTGGGCTATGTGAGGACATCTCTCTCCTGGGTGCAGCTGCAGCCATTGGGAGACACTGGGAACAAAACCTGCTTCAAAATGCCTCAACTGCCCACACAGGGGACTGCATTGGTGTGACTCACTGGGTGTGGACACCAAGTGCAGTTCTGTACCTGCTGCATGGGACCAGGAGGCAGGCGAATGAGGAGGGGGATGATTGGCCAACAGGAGATGAACTGGGCACTGGGAGTAGATCAAGAGAGATCCAGGGGTAGGGAGCCTGTAGTCCTCTAGGTCAGGAAAGGTGAGGGTAGCTAAAGCTGGGGAACCCAACAGGTGAAGAAGGCTGAGAAGCAGGACTGCGACGCCTCAGCTTGAGAAGAAGAGATCTGGGAGGGATCCCTGGACCAGATGACAAAGGAACTTGGACATCTGTCTGAGGAGCTCTAAAGCTGAAACAGAATGCACAAAACCCACATATTCTACTTTGCAGCATAAGCTTTATGATACATAAAATATCATGAATTCATTATGGTGAAATTGGAGGGAAAAACATTGACTTAAAAATGGCCACTCCCCTATGACCTGTGGATCCCAATCCTGTGGGTACCCTTAAAAGGAAAGGGACATTACAGATGTATAATTAAAGATCCTGGGCTGGCAGATTTGCCTCTATTACTCAGTGTAACCACCGGGGTCTTTATTTGAGGCAGGCAGAGGTCAGAGCTGATGGATGACCTGGCCGCCAAGGCTGGATGGTGAGCTTTGAAGATGGAGGAAGAGGCAGAAGCATCTGGAAGTCAAGGCCGGGACAGGAGCAGAGTCTCCCTGGAGCATCCTGCAGAAAGCAGCCCGGTGACTACTGGTTTTAGAACTCCAATGCTGATGACGCAAAATGAATGCATTTATAGTATCTGAAATTACGGCGTTTGTGGTGACATGTTACAGCAGGTGCCAAGAGCACCCTTTCCCCAAACCCTGCCTTGGTCCGCACAGAATTCTCTTACAAGGGCTTAAGATAAGAAATGTTCCTAAGCTCACTAAGCCTTTACAAAGAGTATTTCTCCCATGCCATTAGCAAATCGTTTGTAATGACTTCTCATTAAGGGAAAATTGTTTTGTTTTGTTTTGAGACAGTCTCACGCAGCCCCGGCTGGTTGGGAATGACCTAAAACTTCGTATCTTCCTGCTTCTACCTCCGAAACACTAGGATTGCAGGTACATGTTGCCACTCCTGGTTTATGCCGTGCTAGGAATAGAACCCAGGGCTTCGCACATGCCGAGTAAGCGTTCTATCAACTGACTCACATCCCTTGTCACACAATCAGATTTAAAAGTGGAGGATGGCGTAACTGGAGCCAGGTTTTAGGAAGAAAATGATTCGTGCTGAGCCCAAGCCCAGAAGCCTGAACAGTTCTTAGTAGAAGAAATTAGGGACCCAGCTTGATAACCGGAGGCACTGCACCCCCGTCCTCCCTAACACGGATGCCTAGGTGCTTTGTGTTCATATGAGCTCGTGTATCCGGGAGGAAAAGGGAATGTCAAGCCCTGGGAGGATGGGGAATTTGGGGTAATGTCATAGCTAGGGTTTCATTGCTGTGAAGAGACACCATGACCACAGCAACTCTTTTTTGTTCTTTTTAAAGGAGCTCTGGTAAAGTTTTATTAAAGGAAAACTTTTTACTTTTCACCAGTCTGTTCTGGCATGCTTCTAATAATGTCAGAATCACCTGGGTCAATGATGGCCAGTGTGCAAACTCTGTAGTATTTTCCACACGCTGTGCCCAACTCGATGTTATTGCCACTGTAGTGATGGACACCAGTTTTAGCCAACATAGCATAGTATTCTATTTCAGATATCCTCAAAGTGGGGCAGTTGTTGGCAAGGATCACCAATTTCGCTTTGCCCTGTCTGATCATCTTCAGAGTCTGTTTGTATCCCAGCACGTACTTCCCACTTTTCATAACAAGCTGGAGCCGAGAGTTGATCGACTCCAGAGACTTTTTTGTCTTCTTTGCGGCCACCATCTTCCTGCCTTAGGTGCGGGACGGGCCCCAACCAAGACCAGCCGCCAAGATGGCCGGGGAGCGAGAAAGGAAGGCCACAGCAACCCTTATAAAGGAAGACAGTTAATTGGGGCTGGCTTACAGTTCAGAGGTTTAGTCCATTATCATCTTGACAGGAAGCATGGCAGCAGGCAGGCAGACATGGTGCTGGAGAAGCAGCTGAGAGTTCTACATCCCAATAACGGGCAGCCGGAAGAGAGAACCACATTGGGCCTGGCTTGAGCTTCTGCATACCCAAAGCTTACCCACAGTATGTACTTCCTCCATCAAGGCCACTCCCTATGAGCCTTTGGTGGCTATTTTCATTCAAACTACCACATTCCGCTCCCTGGCACCCACAGGCATGTAGCCACATCATAATGCAAACAGCTTTCAGTTCAACATCTAAAGTCCCCATAGTTTATCAGGCTCAACCCTGTTTGAAAGTCCAAAGTTAGGGTCTAGAGAGATGGCTCAGTAGATAAGTAGAGAACCTGGGTTCAATTCCCATCATCCACATGACTGCTCATAATTGCCTTTAACTCTAGTTTCAGGGTATCCAAACCTTCACGCAGACATACGTGTAGGCAAAACACAAAATGCACATGAAATAAAAATAAATTACTTCTTTTAAAAAAGAAGAGGTTTTTTTTTTTAAAAAAAAGTTCAAAGTCTCTTCTGAAATTCATGGCAATTTCTTAACTGTAATCCTTTATAAAATCAAAACCAGTTGTCAGACCACATGCTTCCAACATATCATGCCACAGGATAAACCGTACCATTCCAAGTGGGAGGAAAAGGAGCATAGTGAGGAAATGCTGGACCAAAACAAGACCAAAAACCAGCCGGGCAAACTCCAAACTCTGCATCTCCATGGCTGATGTCAAATTGTCAAAAAAAAAAAATCAGATCTCAACTGCTTTCAGCTTTGTTGACTGCAGCACACTTCTTTCTCTTGGGCTGGTCCCATTCTCTTTTAGCAGCTCTCCTTAGCAGGTATGCTACAACTCTGGCATCTCCAACATCTTGGGGTCTCCAAGGCAATCCAGGCTTTACCTCCATGCAGGGATACTCTGATGTATGCCTGGCCTTAATGGCTTTCCTTACTTGCACAGGAAGATTCCATAACCTCTTTCATCCATTCTTGACTCTAAAGCCAGAACCACGTGGCTAAAGCTGTCAAATTCTACATCTTTCTGAGGCTGGAGCATGGCCTCCTCATTCAGATACATTTTCACCAGCTTTCTGCTTTTGATGGTTTCCTTCACTGTCTAAGTTTGGCTGACCTTGAACTCAGAGGTAGATTCATAGACCACCTGCATCTGCCCCCAAAGTGCTGGAATTAAAGGTATGAACCACCACAGTCAGCCTTAAACTTTTCTCTAATTCTTTTTCACAAATTGGAAGCTTAACTGGATAGGGTCTTGGTCTTAGGTCAGCACTCCCTTTATTCCAATTAACATCAGGTTTTTCCTTAATCTGTTTACACTTCCTGGTGTACCTTTTCTCCACAAACTGTACATTTTGTATTTTTCCTTGCTCAGCTTGCTCCTTTTTATTATAGATCTATGTAAGGCTGGCCACTAATAACCACATGACACAGTCAATACTAGGCTATTTGAAATCTCTTTTGCCAATGCTGTTAATTCTCTTTTTTTTGACAAAGACAGAAAACAACCACATTCCTCTCCGAAATATCTCAAGAACAGTCTCTAGTCCACATACTAAAATTCTTCTCCTCTGAAACATCTTGAGCCAGGCCTCCCAGAGTTCACCTTCAGCACCACTGTCTTCCATGCTCCTACTAGTATGGCCCATTAAGCTTGCTTAAAGCATTCAGTGCTCTTCTAATTCCAAGTCTCAAAGACATGAGCAAGTCTGTCATAGCAATACTCCATTCCCTGGTACCAACTTCTGTCTTAGTTAGTAGGGTTTTATTGCTATGAAGAGGCCTAGTTTGGGCTTCTGAAACCCCAACACCTACCCCAGGGACATACTTCCTCAATAAGGGCATATTTCCCAATAGTGACACTCTCTGTGAGTCTATAGAGGACACTTTCATTCAAACCACCCCAGGTAGGGACTATATCAGACAGTCTGTAAGACTATCTTCCAGCCTAGGAAAAACTATAATCCAACAAGCAAGTTGGTGTGTCAAACATTTTGTCTTTTGTTTGGGCTGACACCAGTTCTAAAGAAACAGCCTAGATTTCTCATAAGTCTCTTGAATTTATTACTGTCTGTGGGATGCTTTGTTCTACCTAACTGGTCAGAATTGAAGTCCACAACACCAATGTTAGACCTGTCTGTCTTCCATGCCTTCAAGGATGAAACTGAGTCTTCCTGGTTTGGGCTCGTCTCAGAGTGGAAGGTATCCCCTATTCTCCTCTCCTCTGTTTGATCACCTCCATGGGTGTGGGTGGAGCTTCTAACACTAACATACAGGAAGAAAAGGTACAATGTCCCTCACAGGGCATGGTGGACCTTTCCTGAAGACACATCCAAGAGAGAGAGGGAGAACAGAGCATAGCCTTAGAGACTGTCAACAGCAGACTGTTTACACTCTAGGGGATGCTTCCTCTGGGGATGTTTGGTCACCAGTGCCCAAAGAGAAGGGAATAGCAAGGAGCTATGTGCTGAAAATGAACAGGCAGTGCTAGGTCTTCCCAGAACCAAAGGAGGAATGGACACCAGAGCCTGAAGGATTTGCATCAGGGAAGCAGTATAAGAAGATAGGGGAGGACTGCCAAAGGAAAAACTGGGGGTTGGGAGCTGGCAGTACCTCTTGCATCAGATGGACATTCAGTGCGATGTGTCCCTTGAAACTCTTGAGCATGGCCTTATCTGGGGAAACAAGGTCTTTATGGCTAAAATGGCTGAGATGATGATGAGATCAAATGATGAGATCAAATGGCTTACCTAAATCCAACAGCAGGTGTCCTGACAGGGGAACCACAAGTGAGAGACATGGATAGGAAAGAAATGTTGAGATTGGCATGAAGCAACTACAAGTTCAGGAGCGTTTGGTGTCCCGAGCACTACAGAGACACCAGGGGCCTTCCCTTGGGGTTTCTTGAGGGAGCCAACCCTGTTACACCTCCATTCAGACTTCTGGCTTGGAGGCAGGTGGTAGTCTCTTACTCTGATTTCCCTTCCAGAGAAACAACCCATCCTTTCAGGTCTCCTCCATGCCCTCCAACCCTTGGCTTGGCCCCTCTGTCACATGGCTCTGGGCACCAACTTGTGGGAACTGTGGGTGGGACTGGGGAGCACCACTCCAGAGGAGAAGGTCCCACATACTAGGAATACACAGCTGGGCCACCAGAGCCGAAGGTCTGAGAAATGGGTCTGAGAAATGGTCTCTTGTCCTCTGCTCAGGATTAAGACTGAATGTAGACAGGAGACCCTGTTGATCCATGATTGGTACCTACTACCTGCCATCAAACATCAGCCATGTCAAACCAAATAAGTTAATTTTCCATGGGAAGAGTCCTAACCAGCAGCATGGCAAATAATTTGCTACCTAGAAACTCCTGGAAGATGCATTTGATGGAATGACCACTGACTCCAGTTCTCAATCCACACATTTGTAGACTATGTCTGAGGCTTCCTAATACGAAGAAATGAAGCTGATGGTTTACCTCAGGTGCCACCTCCAAGTTCCCCATATCCAATTAGCCACACTTCCCTACCAAGTCTCAGTGTGAGGTGCGAGACAGACCTGAGATTAATTTTTCATGGAGCGTCAGACTGTAAATGATTTTTCTATTTACTTATGTAACTCCTACATAAAATATGATGGTATTTAATCAAATATGGACCAACTGCAAATTATGCTAGATAAACAGTGTGAAAAAAATTCAATATGCTATTGACCGTACATACACATGTGTATATATACTATTGATATATATATATATATATATATATATATATTTAAGAGTAGTAATTTATTCACATTGTTAACATTTTGTGGAATAGGTACATATTTTGAAAACACTGGCTTGCGGCTTAGTGAAATTTCAGTGTTGTACTCCTGTTAAAATCAGGAGTGTGTTGGAACACATATTTTTTAAAATTGTGTTCCCACTCACTTCAGTATCTCTAAGTTCCTAAAAGCCTCCCAGTACCTCTCAAAATGGCTGCATTTATTTTAGTCAGTAACCTTGAAGTCGCCAACATGAGTGCTCTCAGCAGAAAGAGACATCCCCAAGCCTAGCGTGGGGCACAGCTTCTGCTGGTATCTGCTAGGCAGAAGTCAGATGGACACGAAACAGAGAATCACCCAGCCGCAAAACTGAGGTGGGGGAACCTGGTTCTGATTCAGTGCCTGGTGCAAACACAGCCTTGATATGCATGGAGGACAGAACTTGATGTCGAAGAAGGATTTTTCACTTGTCATGCGTCTGTGTCTCCCACTGATGGGACATTTTTCCATCTTCCCTTTCACCTTAGCGCTTCTCTGTCTTTAATACACAGCCTTGGTGTGCTGAACGGCTTTATGTCAACTTGACACAAGCTAAAACATCTGAGAGAAAGGAATCTCAATTGAGAAAATGCCTCCATAAGATTGGTCTATACACAGCCTGTAGGGCATGTTCTTAATTATTGATTGATGAAGGTTGGACAGCACATTGTGGGTGCTACCATACCTAGGCTGGTGATCCTGTATTCTATAAGAAAGCAGGCTGAGCAAACCATGGAGAGCAAGCCAGTAAGCAGCACCCCTCCATGGCTTCTGCATCAGCTACTGTCTTCAGGTCCCTGCCCTGTTTGACTTCCTGTCCTGACTTCCTCCAATGATGAATAGTGATATGGAAGTGTGAGCCAAAATAAACCCTTTCCTCCACAACTTGTTATTTGGTCATGGTGTTTTTGTCACAGTAATAGAAAAACCCTAAGACACTTGGTGTCATTTTCAGGGATGACACCCTACTTGCTTGAACCTTCTGGACAAGGCTGCATGCATATCATACTTGGTCAGGATATTTGTTGGTTGGGCTACTCTTGGGATGAATTCTGCTGCCCCAAAAGCTTCCTAAAGTACCACGCTT